CCCCAAAACCCCAAAACCCCAAAACCCCTTAAAAACCATAAGATATTGAATCAATTATAAGTATTTCTTTCGTTACACTTTTTCCATCTCGGTGTCTTCAGTCTGCTTTTCTATATCTTCGTTATCAAAGGTTTCAAGCATGTTTGCAATAGCTTTCGCTTCATTTAGGATCTGAGGATCAAATTTTAACATTTCAGCAACATGGATACCATACGATCTGTCGATTACTCCTTCTTTGATTTGGTAGAGCATAGTGAGTTTGTCACCTTCTGCTAATGCGCTTACATACAGATTTTTAACTGATGGTACTTCTTTTTCCATTTTAGTCATTTCGTGAAAATGAGTTGCGAAAAGGGTGTAACATTTGATTGTGTTTGCCAGGTATTCTGCAATAGCCCAGGCTAGCCCGAATCCTTCATCTGTGGAAGTACCTCTACCGAGCTCATCCATTATAATGAGTGAGTTCTTAGTAGCTGTTTTTAGCATACAAGATGCCTCTAACATCTCAGCCATAAAGGTCGATATTCCTTTCATCTGATGATCTGCTGCTCCAACTCTTGCGATTATTGAATCAAGTTTGGGGATGACTGCTTTTGATCATGGAATAAAGCATCCAACATGAGCTAATAATGCGTTGATGGCAACCTGTCTAATATATGTACTTTTTCCTCCCATATTTGGACCTGTAATGATCAACATATGAGATTCATTTTTCTTCATTTTTCAGTCATTGCTAATACATGTGCTAGAATTCATTGCTTCAATTAATGGATGTCTTGAATCTTCCAGTATAAATTCTCCTTCTTCTTCGCCGATAATTGGCCTGACATAAGCATTTGATGTATTAGTACTGGCAGTTGCAAAACTGACCAGAACATCAAGCTCAGCTACTATATTTGCCACTTTCTCTAGAACTGGATAATATGTTGAGACAATGCTCAGAACTCTATCGACCAGGACATCCTGCTGCATTTTGTATTGTGACTGCAGTTCATTGAACTCATTGACTAGGATCTTCAATTCTGGACAGGTAAAAGTCATAATTTTGTTTTTCGTGCTGACGATATTATGTGTCAGATTCGTTTTTCTGAGTGCATTATCTCCTTCTCTCTTATCAACTTCAAATAAAAATCCATGTACAGTGTTCTCTTGGATGCTGATCCTCCTAAGAGTAAGTTCTTCCTGAATTTTTGCTCTAAGATTTTCGATTTTCTGGTATGTATCATTTATCAGCTCATTAAGGTTCTTGAGTTCTTCTGAGAACTCAGGATTTATGATATACTCGCCCTGTTTCATTTGAGAGATGTCTACACTTTCTTCTATCATCTCTTTTAGTTTTTCGAACTCCTTCAGAGAAGTTTGAAGTGGAGAAATATAACACTTAGAGATCTCATTTGACTCTTCAACCTCAAGGCCAGTCAGAAACTCAAGGAGTTGTTCCAAGGAGAGAATCAAGTTGTAACATTTCACACAATCGGCTAGTGAAGCATTGTTTCGCTTATTGTTTTTCACTTTATAAAACTTTGCAAATAGTTTATCTATGTCTGGAAAGTTATGAAAATTTTCAGTCTGAATAGCTGTTCTATGAGAGTCATTGTCAACAAAGAACTCAACAATATCTAATCTTCTGTTAATCTCTTCAATGTCACGTATAGGCTGTTTAAGCCACTTTTTCAAGAGCCTTTGACCAATTGACGTTTTCGTTTTATTTAGGAGGTTAAAGATTGACAATGAATCATTCCTCCTATCAATATTTCCTTTGATCTCAGCTCCATCCATTGGAAAAAGATTCAGTGCCTTCATCGCAGCTATATCCAGCCTGAGATAATTCTCAAGGGTGTATTTCATTATATCAAACTGTTGGTGATTGGATCTGGCACTAAGTAGATTACAAAACTCTATTGCTGCTTTTCACGCTGGAAGGGCTCACTTGAGACTACTTTCCTCTATAAACAACAAAGATCCTTTATCCTTCGCTAAGGTTTCAAGCATTTGCTCCAGCTCTGCTTCATTGAAATCCTTCCTGTTGCCTACTACAAAATGGACTTCTCACAGTTGTATAATATCTTCAATTCTCTGCTTGAAGACCTTATCATTTGGCATATTGACCAAGATCTCAAATCTACAGTCTCTTCTTGACGAATTGTTCATCTGGATGATCAAACTTTCTAGGTTGGAGAAATGGTCGTTATCAATAAACTCAGTCAACTGTATACACCTCGTGTCCGTATTAACAAATCAGGCCCCTACAATCTTGTCAGGGCCTGTCAGCTCAAAATTCACACAAAGAAAAGTATTGTTCACTTCAGTTTCCTCTACTAAATCCTTAGGCATTTTGTAGTCAAGTCGGAAATGTTAGGATATTTAAGAAAATGCGTGGGTTTCAGGCGGATTTTTAGAAGAAGGGGTTTTGGGGTTTTGGGGTTTTGGGGTTTTGGGGTTTTGGGG